CTAAAGGACAAGTCGTCGATGCCATACAAAAGCTACGCAACAACAAGGCACCCGGAGAGGACGGTATACTCGCTGAAATTTACAAGTCTTGTGTCGACACTGGCGTCCTGGCTCCATGAGGTGACTGAACGGGCGTGGAGATACGAGGTTTTTCCTAATGACTGGGGCTTAGACATCCTTGTACCTATCCTCAAGAAGGGAGATAAGACAAGATGCGAGAACTAAAGCGGCATAAGCCTAATCGACGTTGCTGCGATGATTATCGCTATTGACCTACTCAAGCGATTCCAGGCTGTGCGTGACTCATGGACGAGGCCCAACCAAACCGGATTTCGTGCTGGACGTAAATGCGCGGACCAAATATTCACCCTGAGGCGCATTCTCGAATTTCGCCACGACTACCAACAACCGACGGCCGTCTGCATTGTCGACTTTGCCTCCGCGTCTGATTCCGTCCATCGTGAGTCCCTGTGGCGGATAATAGCAACAGATGGTGTGCTATCAAAAATCATCGTCATGATGAAGGCTTATTATCGCCCATTCTGTTCAAATACGCTATTGGCCGGATTCTCATGAGGGCTCTACACGATGGTGACGGTGTTGAGTTTTCACCCGTACGCAGACTTACTGATCTCGACTATGCCGATGACATCGCCTTACTTGCTTCAAGTTTTGATGATCTGCAGTCTATGATGTCACGGGTGAACAAGGTCACGAAATCGGCCGGTTTATCCATAAACGCTGGGAAGACTAAAGTGTTCTCAAGTTGCATCCTGGACCAGGGGAAGACACACCTCGAGATTGATGGCTGCCAACTTGAAGAAGTAGACAGTTTTAAATACCTCGGGACGAGACTGCTACCGAATGGGCAGAGTAAGGACGACATTGTCTCCCGAATTGATGCTGCCCGACGGGTTTTCTTAAGCCTTCGAAAATGCCTCTGGATCCGACGCGACATCTCCATCACCAATAAGATTCACGTGTACCGTGCACCTGTCCGGTCTGTCCTTCTCTATGGTTTTGAATGCTGGACTGTGCGCGTGGAGAACGAGCGAAAACTGGAGGCTTTTGACCACCAGTGCTTAAGGATTATCTTTCGTGTGAAGTACACCGACTTCGTCTCAAATGAGACAGTCCGCACTCGCTGCGACAACGTCGCAAGGATAAACCAGGCCATCCAAGAAAGGCAACTGAGGTTGTTTGGGCATGTCCACCTCAGGAGCTCAGTGTTACTGCCCTCCATCCGACACCGTTACCCCATTGGAGGCGTCGAAGACGGGGTCAACTCAAAAATTGGCTTGACACAGTTCGTCAAGTCATGGAGGTAGTTCTTGGACCTTCGGTATTCGGTCTCCGTCGTTGGCGAAGAGAATGGGCTAGGCTGTCCAAATCTGCTGGCGCGGATCATCGCGTGTGGAGCGGTACAGTTCGGGACGTGATCGAGGCCGGTTTGATCAGGCATGATCGCAGCCGTATCAAATACCAAGTACCAAGTAAGTGAATCGCCTAAGTTATGGGTAGTTGGATTGGTCACTACAATGTGTCTTCTGAAACCAAGTTTTAACATATACACATGCAATGCATAGGTGGGACAAGTAAAGGTTCGGAGGAAATCTTCGATAAGCCGTATCTGAAGAGATGAAGATTTTTATAAACATACGTACAAAGGAGATTTACAGTTTTCATATCATACATCTCGAATGCGCAATTATAAGGACTCGGAGTTCATCCAATCATAAAAAGGAAGAGCATATGTTACAGCCACGCATGGCATGGCATGAAATGAAATGCAAGAACGAAGGCTGGATAAAACGTCAGGCAATCACAGACGTTTCATTGTTTTTTTGGTGACAGACAAGGCCTTCTTCTTGTTTAATGAGGTAGATTTCTCCGGATGGCCGTTTGAGTCGCGGAGTCTAGAAGTGGCAAATTAATTCGAAGAATCAGAAGAGCAGTCCGCTCCGGCAGATGGTAATTAACCAAGAAGTCAATGGGGACAGTGGACGACAGTCAGTTAGGTTACCAGTGACTTACACATTCACAAAACCCCGTTAGAGCGCAGGCCAAAGAAACAACTAAGTTTTGACCAATATAGTGTTTACGGTAGCGAACCGATCACGGATTCACATGCGCAATTACATTATCAAAAAATAACAATGCGGTCTTGCCTTGAGCACCGCAAAGCCAGTCGCAAGTTAAACTAAGTGGATACGTGCCAAATTTGTACCAAGGGAGGTATGCAACAACTCACATTGTCGACTCCTGGGTGCAGGAATCTGGGAGGAGTTTGTGTGCTGCAGCAGGCCCTTGCGCATGGACAGATGTGAAGATCCTCGCCTGACGAGTGTATTCGTCATAATCCTCTAGAAGCAGACGGCCCGCCTCTTCATTAAGAGCAGACTCCGGATTTGGTACTATAAGAAGGCAACGAATGCTCTTGAAAGTTTAAACGCAAACTCCTCTATTACCAATAGTATATGTCTTAAACCTAACGTGGGGTTCCACTCCTTCTTTAGAGTATCAACGCAGATTTCACCGGTCCTCGGATTAACGTTTGGATGAAAAATTTTAGTGATAAAGAAGCCCTTCGGAGGTTCTGTCGGGTAATTTGTGGGTAAAAGCAGCCTTATTAAAAAGAGCCCGTTTTCAAACGGCGTATCTCTTGGGCCAACTATGGACGCCTAAATAAGTTAAGGATGCCTTATTATAATAAGCACAAAGCACCTTTAGGTCAGTCAGATCCTGCTCATTTAGCTCCAGGGATACTCCGTCTATTTCATCGTCTAATATAGCTCTGATTTCTTTATAGACTGACTTTGCGAACTTAGGGAAGACATTCTCCATGTTATGGGGCCGGCGAGAACTTAAAAAATGCGATATGCGGACTGGCTCAGTGCCGAATAGTGATTGGTCAAACCGTGTGAGCCGCGACGGCTTCTGGAATTATTCTCGAGTTTAAATTTTGTGAAATCATGTTTGAGTAATACTTCCAATCACTGAAAGACCCGGAAGATGTCATTAAGAAA